ATCGGAGGAGGCGGGAAGGGGGATGACAGGCGTGAACAGAAGGCCACAAGGCTATCAAATTTTGTTTATCCAAAGAGGCGTCGGGAGTTGACGATTGTCATGGTAGCCCGCACCGCCCAGTGACCGTCCGGATGACCGCTACAAGGTGTGGCTACGATGTTGACACGCCAAGATGCTGACCCTAAAGGGAGGCATTTAAAAGAAACCAGGGCAACCGCAGCGCACCTGACGCTGTGGTTGCTCTGGTTGCCCCCTCAGCGGCTAGAGTAAACAGTGCGACCAGCTGCTTCCAGTTTTTATGCTCCAGGTTTGGGGAGAGTACCGTGTTGCCATCGTGAGATCACTCTTCCCTCCCCCCTCCCTCACCGCAGCCCCATCGGCGCAACTGTTTTATTTTTTTAACGCCTCACCTGAAGGTGGGGGCATGTTTGCGCTGTCGTCTCACGGATGACCTCTCAGCAGTAGGGGGCGGCAGTAGGGGAATTCGAGGCGTCGCATGGCTTAGTCATCGTTCAATGGGAAGAAAGAAGACGCTGAATGAATACTGGGGTCCCCGCTGAAAAAAAGCTCATTAGTTCCTCTCAGATCGGTTGCACACAGTGTCAGGCGACTAGGGAGGAGAAACGCAGCTATCAGGTACGACCTTGACATGTGGCCTTGCCTCCTGATGCGAACCTGCCCACCACCAGACCCAAGGGCCTCAAGCGCACCTCTACACATGATTAATTACCTGTAAAAAGGTCTCTCTGGCTTTACGAACATAAGCATGTAAAATAATTGTCATGTATATTCCTGTTTCTCGAATCTCATATATGCAGCAAGTCATTAAAGAAAACACAAGCGTCTTATAAAAATTGTGAGTTAGAGGAGTAGGGTTGCGTAGACTTACGCTAGATACCGACTCTCTGTATATCGGAATATTAGGGAAATTTTCAAATACGTACACATTTTACTAACATAAAAAAAACAACTAGCTTCACTCATTATCTATATTCCTAAAGCGAAGCAGGCGGGAGAAATAAGAGAACCATGTCAACAGGCAAGACTGAAACACCCGTATGCCCCGAAGGTAGGGGTCGAGGAATGAAAATTAACTGAAAGTCGCGTTAAGAGAAATGCTCTGGGCCTTTGGATACACCTGGATGTCACGAACAGCGCACTGCTCGAAAAATGCCTCGTGATTTACGAAATTTCCCTGTTAGGAAACTGCCATACAGTAAAAATCGAACACAATTAAGGCTCCACTCAAGGCCACATACGTCATCTTGTCCAAAAAAGATCATTTATTTCACCCAAAAATCACTTTCGAGTGTAAGTGAGCAAGTAGACGTAATGTATAACTAAAAAGGAGCCCGTAAGTAGGCAGCCTTTGTTAATTTAAAATCAGTAGTTTACAGCGGCGATTTCTCTTTCCCATAAAACGCGATGATCTGGAGATGAAGCAAGGGAAAAGGAACAATCCGAATGACAGAGCAAAATTCCAGGAGGAGTAAAATGTCACAACCCAAAATTTAAACCTAACCTTAAATTTAACTCTAGCACTAACCTTAACACTAACCCTGATCTTGATCCTGGAGTTTAGATCCACTTTCCTTCAAGCAGTTCAGAAGAGGATGCGATCGCTGGAACACGAAGTTAATGGTTTGGCGTTTCGAATTCTCGCCTGAACGTATCATCAGAGACAACCGCAGAAAATGGAAAGGGGTTGCCTCTGAGGATGTGTTTAAGCGAGAATAAAAAACGTCAGACTGATAAACTTCTCGTTCCAGCGATAGCATTCTTTGATTCCCTTTTCCTGCCGATGCGAAACCTTCCACTTCTTTGGAACTAGAATCCTCACTTTTAGCCAACTATGTGTAATATTGCCTTCGCACTCGAAGGCTAATTGGGATAATTGTGCCGGATTTCAAATACAAAAAGGAAATACAAATTCTTCTTTTAGAAAGCTATAGATAAGAGACTTTAGGTAATTCCCTCAACATTTTAGTTCACTCCGCTCTCATTGACGCAGGTAGATGCAGCGAGTTATGAAATTGAACTGCCGTTTTTTATGTTCTCCATTTACATATTACTTTTCGTAGGTACCGTTTGTCATCTTCCGGTGTCCTGTGGTCTGCTTACCTAATTTTATTCACGGTGAATGGAGGACTTTTTTGCTGAAATGATACTTTCAAAACAAACCCCTCCCTCGCTCTCAAGCTGAGTCGTTTTTCAAAGCCAATCGGGCTGCCCTCAGCTAACGCCCATACGTATATGCATAGGGGTTTTGAAATAACCACTACTACATAGGTAGTCGGAACACATTATATGGTTACATAGAAGCTACGTCACGAGTACACACGCACTCAAGTGTTTGTAGGGGAATTCTCTCCACTCATTTAAATGCTAGGGCTAATAGTGACACCTTGTCAGGGAAAATTATTTGCAAATCTGTTCTCCAACCTCGAAATTATTCTATTTTTGCGAAGCGTAAATGGCTACACGCGTAGGCGTCTTCGCTTGGCCCGTTGCTAGTAGACCACAAGAGATATTCGCTATTCGTTCTAACCACATTTTCTTCG